AATTTTTAATATTTACCTATTTATCAAATATTTTTAATATTGGTTGAGTACTAAAGAATTAGTATCATGTACAGCCTTTGATGTTTAAAGATGACTTAATGGAATAATAGGACATATTTGTTCAGGGACTATTTATTGAGTGCCGCCTGTATGCCAGGAGTAAGACAAGGTCACTGCCCTCTTCCAGTGAAGAAGATATATTTCAATGCTTGGGACCACAATGCTATACAGTTAATATATTCTTATCTTAGATCCTGTAGTAGCCAAATATGGCTCTATGATGTTCAATGCCATTCTATAAGTAGCAAAATACAAGTTTGCATCAGGTGTAAACAAAACATAAAATCAGTTTGTTTACCTGCTGCTCACAGATGATACATATAATGCAAACTATTAGTTTCAACTTTCCATAGCTTTTATGAGGAGTGTGTTATTTGCAGACTGTTTCCTGTATGGAGAAAATTCTTTAAAAATGAAAAAACAAAAAAATTTGGATGGTTTTGTACAATATTTATTCTTATTAACTGAACTGTTTTCGAGAACAGGATCAAAGTCTTGTGCAATTTTCATCACATTTTGTACCTTTAAATATGAAATCCAAACAAAATGAACTCTCCATCTCTTGGCCTAAAGTTTCTGATAGAAACCTAATGCTGTTATTTTGGGGGCTGAGGAATGTTTGTTTGCACCCTGAAGCAAAGCATTTATAGCAATTTGTAAGAGTGAGCAGAAGGAAGGACACAGTCTCTTACAGTTCCACATGCTGCTCTTAGTTACTCATTAGCTTAACAAGTTCTTTTTGAAGGACCCAAGGCTCCTAAGGCTTAATTTGATCTTTTCTTATCTCTTGATTGGGATGTATCATTCTTTATAGCCATTGGATGAGTACTCACAGTCTGTGAAGTAACATGCAGGATTCTGAACCAGATTAGGACATGAACAAGATGTTTAGGGCTCTGATCTCATTAATGTTCTCATTTTTTGGCTTGCTTTTTTAATTTATCTGATCAAGTAGGAGCTGGGCTGAAGGGAAGGAAGGTAGTAGAAGTTCAATCCACAAAGGATGGGTCCTGGGGAAAAGGAAAGGCCATCGGACAGATTTATCAATGGGCCTGGGGTCTTCATCAAAGGGAAAGAGCCTGCTTTTCTCCCTGGTGCTTCTAGGCTACGTCCCGATCAGACTGTCAGAAAACTTAGTTCCCTTTTTGTTCTTTGTTTCCATTCAAAATAATCCACAGCAGCCGTTCTTAATTAGGTGTGTGCATCAGAAATGCTTGGGGAACTTTTTCAAAATACACAAGCTTGTCACCTACTCCTAGAGATTCTGATTCAAAAGGTCTAGGGTAAGTCCACAGGCATAAATATATATTTTTAAAAGCTGTGTGATTTGCCCTTGCTGGTGTATCGATAGCTCAGTGGATTGAGCATCGTCCTGTGCACTGAAATGTCGCTAGTTTGATTCCTAGTCAGGGCACATACTCAAATTGCAGGTTCGATCCAGTTGTGGTACATGCTGGAGGTAACCACTCAATATGTCTCTCTCAGATCAGTGGGTTGTTTTTTTTTTGTTTGTTTGTTTTTTCCCCTCTCTCCCTCTGCCTTCCCCTCTCTCTAAAATCAATTTAAAAAAGAACATGTTTTTTTTTTTTGTTTGTTTGTTTTTTTTAAAAAAAAAAAAAAGGCTATGTGATTGTTAGCACATTGGTTAGGAAACTTTGGCCTATTATAATTGATTTTCCTAAAGCAGTATTTTGGCATTGTGACCTCATCTTTTGTCTTTTTCCTGGTGTTTTCTTTATTCCACATTTTTGCATATTAACATAGGTAACCAACCTTATGCTGGGTCTTTGTTCCTCTGAGTGTCCTAGTAACACCTGACTATCTTCTCCAGCTACTGATGTGTGGGACTGGGGACATCAGTGTGGCTGATTTCAAAGCCCATGCAATGGTCGTTGGTGGCTCATGGCATTTCAGAGAAAAGGTAAGTGGGCCAGATTTCTTTTAGTTGGATTTGTGCCATGTTGTAAAGAAAAAGTTTCAGATCACAGAAGTTGAAGGCCTGGCCGGATGGCTCAGTTGGCTGGAGTGTTGTCCCGTATACCTAAAGATTATGGGTTCAGTCCCTGGTCAGGGCACAGACGGGAGGCTCACATTGATAAACTAGGGGTGGGAAGCCTTTTTTTTTGTCAAGGGCCATTTGAATATTTATAACATCCTTCATGGGCCATATAGAATTATCAACTTGGCGAAACCGGTTTGGCTCAGTGGATAGAGCATCGGTCTGCAAACTGAAAAGTCCCAGGTTCGATTCTGGTCAAGGGCATGTACCTTGGTTGTGGGCACATCCCTGGGGTGGGGGTGGGGGGGTGCAAGGGCAGCTGATGGATGATTCTCTCTCATTGATGTTTTTAACTCTCTATCCCTCTCTCCTCCTCTCTGTCAAAAATCAATAAAATATATTAAAAAAAAAAAAAAAAGAATTATCAACTTAAAAATTAGCCGGCTCTATTTGATAAAATATTTAACTAACTCACCTCCAATGCCTTGGCAGGGCCAGACCAAATGATTTTGAGGGCTGGCCATCCCCACTCCTGCTTTAAACATATCCTTGGGTGAGGATTAAAAAAAAAAAATTATCAGTCAGAAAAGCAGACATATCACTTGGGGAAAAATAGTCTATCTGTGGGAAAGACAGAAGGGACCCCTGGTCTCTACTGGCCATCGAGCTGATTACCACAGGAACAGTGCATGGCAAAGTCAAAGAAATAGAACCAAGCATTCGGGACTTCTCTCCTGACGTGTGACAGTGCAGACGCCTAGAGGGTTTGTCAGCTCTAACAATTCCTATCCCTGTCCTCACAGAGTGGTAACTGGGCCACACCCCCACTTGGGGTGTCCTGTTGCTCCCTTGCCCTGAGGTTAATCCCTGCGCGGCATACTGGTGTGACCCCAACTTTGTGCTCTCCCTGCCAGGTCATGAGGTGGTTTTGGACTGTGGTTTCCAGTTTGACCCAGGAGGAGTTGGCTCGACTGCTTCAGTTCACGACAGGCTCCTCCCAGCTACCACCCGGAGGCTTTGCGGCCCTCTGTCCCTCGTTCCAGATTATTGCTGCTCCGACCCACAGCACGCTGCCCACTGCACACACATGGTAGGTATATGACTGCTCGATGCATGCTCATGTGAGGGATTATTTTTTTCATCCTTTGTCAGTGGTGTTGAGTTAATAACTTTTCCCCTTGCCCTTCCAGTTTTAACCAGCTGTGCCTCCCTACGTACGACTCGTATGAAGAGGTGCACAGGATGCTGCAGCTGGCCATCAGCGAGGGCTGTGAGGGCTTTGGCATGCTCTGACCACTCTCCTGCCATCCTCTTGGCTCCCGTGCTTTCTGGAGCAGCTGGGTGTGCACAACAGACATCATAACCACTGATACTAACAGAACACATAACCATCAACAGAAGCTGCTGCATGCTCCCCAGTGTCTGGAGTATTTGGTCACCTACAGGCCTTGTCCTTCCCTCTTTCCCTTCCTGTCCATCCTCTCCCCCCAGGCCACTTTGGCATGGTATGCATTCTGAGCTCCTCGTTCAGTCACGAGAAGAGGACCGTGCTGCTGTAATTCCACTCGGTTCTTAGGAGATCTCAGTAGCGGGAGCTGCCTCATTAGCTGAAGGAGATTACACAAAGGGCTCAGCTCTCATCGGGGAGCTGGTGCCTTCGCCTTGCTATTCTCCTCTGCTTCTGCTCCTTCAGGGCCCCTCTGGGCCCTCCTTACTTGACCTGAGGTCTGTGAGTCCTTCTTGTGGGTAGAGTTATTGCTTCTTCTCAGCAGGAGCCAGGAGAAGCACAGATAGGAAGAGGCCCACATGCGCAGTCTTTGGTTTTGTCCCTCTGCACAATGGCAGGCTTAGGCGTTGGCCCTGGACTACCTCTAGTGGGGACTGAGCACAAATGGATCTCTGTGTGGTTCTAGACTGGAAACAGAGCGTTCCCCGCAGGCATTTCTGGAAATGGTCATTCATTTCTAAACAATTCTAAGCTTTTTCTTGAGTTTGAGCCAGTGAGAAAAGCAGAGCTAAGCATGTGAAAGATAACTGGGCTGTGGCCTCCAGTGCTCAGTCTGCTTCTCCTTTAAGGTTGGGGTATGTCTAGGCATATGGCTGGTTTTTGAAGACTACTGATGCTTGTCCCTAAGTTTGCTCTTTATGCTGAGGTGTGGCTGGTCACCTGCCTCCGAGTTATGCATTCTGCTAAGAGCTGGGATTCTCTTCCTTTCTACTGAAGAAAATTTTGGAACAAGGAACGGGGATCGGAAGAATAGCATGCCAGTGATCCCTGCTTCTCTCTTTGCTTGGCGTTCTCTGGCAGCACTGGGGCACGGGAAGGGGACCAGCGATTCAAGTGTTTTCACAGGTCCTTTGGGTCAGGACACTGGAAACGGGGGATACGGCAGGCAGTAAACACCTCGCTGCCCCAGTTACTTCCCTTTATTCCCTCAGTTACCACCAACGGCAACTAAGAAGGAAGATATATTATTAGGTTCACTGTTGTGTGATGATTGAGGAGAACCTGCTGCTATCTCTTGGATGATGGCAACATCCTCCTTCATTACAATTTGGATGAAAACATTTGCAAGACGCAAAACCTCATCAACCGTCCCACATGTCTGTTTTTAAGAAGGCTTTGCTGCAATCTACCATTCCCAATGGGGCATTCAAGTCTGAGACTATTACAAGCCATCTTTATCGCCAAAACCAGCAAGTACAGAGTCCAGAGAGGAGGCAGGACGGTGGCATTGCCATGGCCTCCTGGAAGCAAGTCTGAGCCCTCCTGCTCCCAGGGATCATAAGGAACAAGCCCTCCTGAGCTGCTGCTGTTCATGCCTGACCTCACTCCTTCGCAGTCGTCATTTGTCCTTCTTGGTGTGGGTGCTGACCTCACTCATTCTGGGGTCCAGGACCCAGTGTCAGGGCCTCTACACCACAGGGTCCTGCATGCCACATGGTCACTGCTCTCCTCAGGGACCAGGACAAGGTGCTGCCGCTTGCCCCAGTGTTTCCCGTGGGATATGTACAGGCAAGCTTTGTCATCACCCCGGGAAACGGGATGCTGCCCCGCGGCCCAGAGAGGGAGGCCCATGGGCTGGCTCTGCTGTCTTTGGCAGTTATTCCTCTTCTGGATTCTGCTTTCACCCCTCCAGCAGCTCCCCACAGACTGACGCTGGAGCTCGATTTGATTTTCTTGGCTAGACCTGTCATTTTAAGCTCTGGTCGTAGCACTTTTCAAAGCATCCTGGGCACCACCACTGCCCAGCTGGGGCAGCTGCATCCCAGTGGGGGTCCTGAGCCCAGGACCTTTGTTTAACAAAACCCTTTGGTACTGTTGTGGTTTTTCTATTCTTCCAGGTTATCCTCTCCGTTAACTGTTCAAATATATCTTTACTCTTTTGGGCCTTTATTTTACTTTTTTTTTTTTTTTTTTTTTTTTTTTTTCCTTCTAATCCTGCTTTGGTACTAGCCAGTGTGGGGAAAGGTACATTGTGTCAGAGAGAAGTAGGCTGTGTTACTTCTCGGGCAATTTTCTATTCACGTTTCTTATTTTGGCCAGTTCTTTTATTTATGCCCTTGTGGCCCAGGTACTTTGGGGGGTCAGCTAACCTCCTGGCCTTCAGTGTCTTTGAAGGAGACCAGATACAAAGTGGACACCAAGGAGAGCATCGGCATGTCTCTAGCACTTCCGCGGAGACCAAGCCCCGCTGCAGATTTGTCAGGCCGGGCAAAAGGGCCAGACAGTTGCATTGATTGTGTAAATATTTTGTACAGTAAGTAAATAAATGTTTAAAAGAACCAAGGAGTAGAAAGATTTTTTTGCATTTTCCCAAGAATTCCTTCAGAAGCAGGCGGCTCAGGGTAGGATGTACACTGGGAGACCCGCCTGCCCCAGGCCTCTTGCCCTTTCACCCTTCTCTGATTGCTGTCCATGGTGCCAAGGGGGCACTGTCATTCACACAGATAGCCAGTGGTCAGGACAAGTGCTTGGGCAGCTTGGCAAGAGCAGAGGGTGTCTGTTCTCATCATTCTTTTAAACATTAATTTGTTACAGTTTTACTACATAAGAAACTCAGTGTAGAAAATTTGCAAATGAAAAAAACAAGAAATTAATCACCTGCCATCCAGCGGTAACACTAGAAACACTTCAGTGTTTCTTATTCAATGTATCTTGCATAAAATCACATTTATTCTCCCTCCCATCCTCCCCGAACCCCTAACCCTTCCACAAGTGCTGTGGGTGTGGCAAACAAAAACACAGCTCCTCAAATTTGGCAGGTGGTACCAATTCTTTTCCAAACAAAGATAAACTTGGCAGAGAGAAAACCAGGCCTGATTTATGTCTAAAAAGAAAAGTATTAGGGACCCTGGCTTTCTAAGAGAAGTAATCATGGTGTCTTGTACAGTAATTCCTAATCTGTAAAATCAAAACAAAATCCTATTTAGAATTCTTTTTAAAATTCAGGTTTTTGCCCCTACTCCCAGATCCAATGAATTGGAATCTTAACAGGAAAACTCCTGTACAATGCTTTTACCCTATTTCATCAAGCTCCTGAGTGATAAGCCATGTCACAAAACAAAATTCTCTCTGACTTAATATTTTTAGGTAAACTGTCCTACACCTTTTATACTTGCTGCTCTTGTGGCTTTGAATAAGTCACTATGAATGTTCAGTGAGAGATTTCATTTCATCCTGAAGTTGTTAAGACTCAAGAGGCTAGTAAGATTATTCTTTTTTTAAAAAAATATTTTAATTGATTTTTCATAGAGAGGAAGAGAGAGGGATAGAGAATTAGAAACATCAATGAGAGAATCATCGATCAGCTGCCTCCTTTACACCGCCTACTGGGGATGTGCGTGGGCACATGCCTTCGACCGGAATCGAATCTAGGACCTTCCAGTCCGCAGGCCAACACTCTATCCACTGAGCCAAACCGGTTTCGGCAGGTTGTTCTTAAAACAAAAGATACTGCTCAGCCGGCATGGCTCTGTTGTTGAGTATTGAATCTGAGGAGATCTCAGATTCCTGGTCAGGGCATATGCCTGGGTTGTGGGCTTGATCCCAAAGTGGGGTGTGCAGGAAGCAGCTGATCAATGATTCTCCCTCTGTTCCTCTCTGAAGCCAATAAAAACATATTTTAAGAGAATAAATACAAGTTTCAGCTTCTCATGTGCTGGTACCTCTGAGCCACTGCGCACTGAGCTCTCAGCCACACTCTCAGGGCTACAGTAGAGGTGGGAACAGGACTCCTGATCTCTACTTCGGTTTCACTTAGATCTGAAGTATAAGAGACCAGCTCCAGGTATCCTGTAATACTTTCACTTAAAAATAGAAAACTTATTTTGAGATGTAACATATATACAAAAAAGGTATACAAGCACATACAATTTAATAAGTAATTATAAATGAAGTGCACCTGTGACCACCATCCGGGTCAAGAAATAAAACAGTGCAGAACTGCAAACTTCAGGTCTCATCCCATACCTCTATTGTTCCGACTTTTATGAGAACTGTTTTATCTGTTCCTTTTCCAAACAGCCTAGGGAGAGGGTGAAAAACAGCCCATGTGGCCTCTTAAGATACTAAGCAAGGTCACTTTCTCCATAGTCATTGCAATACTTCACAATTAGTTTTAAAATTTTCAGAGACAATCGTTTCCCATCAGACTAGTTCAGATTCCTGATGCTAAATCTGATGAATCATATTCAATGTCTACAAAGTTTTCTTGCCAAGATTTACCCCCCAGAGATTCTACATTGGATGCTCCTTTGAAACATCCTGTACAGATTTTGTGGGCTAGTCTTTCATGATCATCATTCTCTTTGCTGGTCAGCAGCAGGTTCATGAGTATCATAAAAGTACAGTAGTATTGAAAATGACTCAGCCCTAAGTTGACTCAAAAATTGTAGAATGGGCTAGAACTTCTGACTCAGACTATGGAAACTGCACCACCTAACAGAAAGTCATCCCGAAGTTATTGAACAGCTTAGTTTTTCTGTTTGGGGTTCAAAAGGAGTGGGTTTAGGGGGTCTTGTGATGATCTTGGTTTGTATTTGACGGAGACTTGAGATACGCCTTGCTATGAACACCACCACTACCACCCTGCCAATTCTGTTCACTTTAATTTTGCTTTTAGAAGAACACTTTGTGGTAACTACAGCAGGCACCTGGTTCTCTGCAGTGAACTCAGGTGTAGTTTCTTCAAGTTGGTCAGTAAAATCCTGGTAAGGAGATGTGGAGGACAGTTTATTACCAGAAGGCAGAAGAGTGATAGCTGCAGGCTTTTGATACAGTATCAGAGGTAGTTTTAACCAAGTTGTCCAGATTGCCAATAGAGCACTGGTTTATTAATATTAGCCAGCAGCGGCAGCTTCTTAAATACAAGGTGCTAACAATGCTGGTATCCTACGGGCAGGGGTTAGACACACCAGCACAGAACCCCACATCCAGTCACCTTGAAAGATCAGTGTGGGATCCCTATCTAATTGCTCTTGTAGCCTTCCTTCAGGAAGATGGAGGATGATTTATTCAAAATGAAGTGCACAGATGTGGTTGCTACTTCCTCGGAGTACCCAGCTAGCAGGCCAACATGGCCTTTATTACCTTCACCCCCATTGATTTTTAGGTCTTATACACTACTGAACTTTAGGGATGACTCTAGGGATGACTCTAGGAAGAAGTGTTAGATGACTCAAGGAGCTAGGTGAGGAGATGCATTTCTTTTATAAACCTCATTGTATCCTTGCCCAGGTGGCCCATCCTATGTTTCTGACTCCAGGGCCCGGGGGGCCTTCAGCCTCCCCTGCAACACAGGCATTTCCTGTCAGTTGGCCTTTTCTCAAAGAAGATATACACCTTTGCATCAAGAGTGCAGAATAGGATCCTCAAAGGATAGAGAGATATGATTGGAGAACTTGAACATTCATATTTTATTTTTAACTCCCATGGTTCAACCTTGGGAAATCTTTCAATATCAGTTTCATGACCTGAAAATTGATGTTATTAAAAGAAAATCAGCTAGTAACCTGGAGCTCTTAGAAAAAAGTTTTCTATATATAGTATGTGTGATACCATATTGACTATGGCCTAGTGCCCTGGTACTTTCCATAGCGGGAGGCTGTATGGATCTGGGAGCAGTAGAGTCTGATAGAATATGTCAGAGTATGCTAGAGTGTAGAGTAGAGAATGCTAGAGTGGATGATTGGCATGGGTGTGGCTCTTTTCCCACCTTGCTGCCTCCAGGCAGGCCAGAGAAAGTGAGTATTCAGACACCTTGCCCAAACATCTGTGAAGAAGTCCTCAGGTCAGAAGAGACCTCCTCTGCCTCCTTCACATGATCCTCCAAAGGCCAGAGGAGGTATTTGAGGGGACTGCATGTCAAACCTCTGTCATGTGGTAAGCAATCTAGTAATAGGCAGAGCTGTATGTGAACGTGGATCTGTTTCATGTCAAAGCCCAAACTGTCCACGTTGCTGGTCTGTCTCAGCCAGATTAGTTTAGACTAAAAACAGCCCAGGCACAGGGCCACCAGAGCTCACTGACTCTACCTCATGATCCCTCGGTGACATCACATAACAGATGAACACTTTATACCTTTGTTTATCTGTCGGTCACTTGAGGATTTCAGATTCAGAAGGTCCTACTTTAAGATACCACTATTAGTTGTGTCTTTAAAATCCTTGGCATGTACAAAGTTCCCTAGAATACTAGCTAATGACTTGAGTGAAGTGACTTCCAAGTTGAAATGAATCCTGCATACAAGACATCCTGATGATATACTGGAGGTGTGAGCATATATGTGTGTGGGGGGGGGAGAGGGGGTGAAGTGAGCTGGGGGGCATCCTGCATTTTTTTTTTAACAAGATATCCATGCACTTTATTAAATTTCAAATTATCAAGCCCAAAACAATGTCCAGAAAAGTTATAGAATGTTAACAATTTGAGTCAGGTCCCTGGCTCAAAATAATAGAATCAACTGGTAACAAAATAATTTGTCAACCAAATCCTAGAAACAGGATAGATTTTAAAATACCATCCAAAATGTCGGACAATAAAAAAGTACTAGAGAGATATCTGCACAAATATGCAAATATGCAGAAACCTCAATGATTAAAATAATACTTCATTAAGACTCTTTGTAGACAACCAAATGAAGGAATAATATACACTTAGTTTGTAAAGTTCAGTAGTGTATAAAGATGTCAATTATCACCAGAAACATTTATGAATTTTTAAAAATATATTTTATTGATTTTTTACAGAGGGCAAGGGAGAGGGATAGAGAGCCAGAAACATCGATGAGAGGGAAACATGGA